GAATCTATAATCGATTTCTTAAAAATTTGAGTTTGATTACGTTTTTACTGAAAAAAGCTTTTTTAGTAGAAAATCATTTTGTCGTAAAAAATTCTTTTGATAAAAACGAGTAACGCTCGTCTATATGACTCGCTTGACCCTCGACCGAATATTCAGCTGTTTCGGTATTGTATACTACTTCGCAATTCTCAACACAGCTAGTATCAAATGTTTGAAAAGGGTGCGTCTGGATATGAATATTGACATTCGCATCAGTGTTCCCGTGTATGATGACATGCATGTTTGTGTGATACGTTTTCTTATTAATTCATCCAACAAAACTGAGACACGCACAATAATATCTAACGAAAATCTAAATAAACAACACTAAGGCAGCAGTGTCCACATGCCAGAGAAAAAAAATTACATTTAATATATAGACAGACAATCAAAAAAGAAAGTACATCCGTGATATTAGCGTGAGAACGCATCATACTTGTTGAAAACTAATAAAAATTTGTGTAGTTACCAGCACATCAACCGACAATATCATTTGCTAGTGTCCGCTACAAAAACACGCGTTTAGCTGAACTTTTAGATTAAAATAAAACATATTTGGTCAGACATTTTCACGGAATACGCCACTTCAATGACGCTCGTACTCCAATTAGTCATCGGATTAGACAGATAATTTCAAAATACTCGAATAAATTTAGATGAGTAAATGCACACAGACCGGACACATAATGACAAAAAAGCTTATTTTATTTCATTCGAATCTACTTCGAATGAACTGAACTGAATTCCTTGCATGATGTTTTCCGTCGAATGTTCTATTCAAATACTGCGCACATGCAGCACAACTGTTCTCACATTTCATTCAAAAACACTTGTTAGTCTCTTTTGCCAGTTCTGGTTCCTATTGAACCAGCCAGGTCCAATCCACAGACATGATTCCTGTGGAGTGCAACAACCTGAAGTATCTCTTCAGGGAATTTCGCAGAGCAGCGGTTAGTTGCTCGTCAGCACTCCTTTGGGGCGGTACTCATCGCTAGTCGTTGCCATGCTTAATTCTATTCCGGCATAAAATCATCCTCTTTGATTTACACTCGGTCTGATTCTAGATTTGGTTTAGTTCCAAAAGTCATTAGAGTTATAACACGAGAATTCTTGATGGACAATCCCGAAGCTGAAACTTTGTCGTGAACTATTCTTTATGTCTTTAATTTCATTGGCTAGCTAGCCAATCAAAGGTTTACTTAAATTCTTTATTAAGAGAATGTTAGTATAATATTCTTCACAAAAATCTAGCCTTTCTATAGATCATTTCTGAAGCGAATCAACAGTGAATCTGCCATAGGTGCGACTCGTCCTTCGTCGGCGCCTCTTCAGAGCGCCACTCATGGCTAGTAGCTCTATTATTTGAGCGCATCTAAGCAATAGCTAGCTATTCTCTTTTAACCATGGAAAAATGTGACATCATTTTTATATATTGTTTGTATTACCTTCTTCGAGTCATAGTAGCGAGAAATTCCATGAGTTAGAACTTCTACTGAAAAATAAATGCGAATAATGGAATAGTAAGCCAGGAAGACCGCAATGCGAGTAGGCTTAGATGTCGATTATGTCGATTATGTCGATTATGTCGAATTGACTTAAATTTGAATTTGGGTATTCGGGATACTTTTGTTGTGGATATCGGTGTTAGTGTAAGTATGTGCCTGAGTAGATTAATCTTGTTTTGTCACACACCCACATCTCATGCCCACACCGTGAAAAACCTCAGATATAGTTCACGTTAGTGAGATTTGCAATCCTGTAATCTCCCTAATACATATGAATACGTGACTCTTGCAATTACTGCCAGATCACAAGCTTATTTTCGTTCATACCACTCCATGTTCAGTACACCGAAAACTCATTGTTTCCCGGAAGAACCTTACGCTGATTATAAAATTATAGCTGCCAACTTCTAGCAATATACTACAGATTTGAATCTCCGCACGTCGATCTAGTTGCCTTTCAGAGAAATAAGTACTAGAATTGCAATGTAACTGCGCTTTACTCTTTTCTATGATAGTTTCCATTGAATTTTTCCAAATGTAGATATTTAATCAACGCTGATATCGAATGAAATTTTGTGATTTGGTTATGGCTTTCGTTTTTTTTATTCGACTTTGATATAATAAGTGCATTGCACCATTTCTATTGCAGTATGTGTCTATGTTTTCAGACTAACAACTACTTGATCAATCAACAAGCAATCTTAATAAGTGTATTCATAGCTTTCGAATGATTGTTTAGAGAACAATATTAGAGTCTTTGTGTTTACATTATTTAGATTCGGCATTTTAATGAAAGTGAAAAAAAGATAAAGTATCTTGTCTAGATATTCAATTGGGTAAATTGATACTATCGAAAAAAAAGAAGTTCGATCGTCAGTTTACTCGATGAGATCGAATAGCATTTTTATACTTGAAAATCTTCCGTATTATGAATATAGCATGGAATCCGAATTTCATCAGAAAAAAAGAAGAGTAAACGATGCAAGAGGCGGTCAATGCTGACAATGACTGCCACTAAGTAACTCAATTTGATTATTATTTTGTAATATTCTGTTGCTGCCGACAGTGAACAGCACAACAGCCAAAATAGTCGGAGAAGTTCAGCGATGTTCAATGTCTTTCGTTGGTCAAATACAAGTAACGACTGATCGATATCATTGACAGGTGTTAGGCTAATCTTAGAAATCGAGAATAACACGAGACTTTCTTAGTGCAATCAATTGCGAGACAATTTGTCTCCTTAGTAAAAAACATGTTAAATGATCATGAAGTAAAATGTTATCGACTCTGAATAAAACGCACGTTCATCATTCATCAATTTCTCTTCGTGACCTTGTATACCAACTTTTTTCTTGTTTCAGCTGAACATACATTTCTTTTTAAGTACATCCAATGCGATGGGTCCGTTTCCACATTTAATTCGACCATCATCACCCTTTTTATCTCCGATCATGCGATTTAGGATCACACAATATAGTTTGCTGTAAAATATAGGATACTTTGCGAAAACCTGATTTCCTTGAAAAAAAAGCAACTCAATCATGTTCTATATGGTAATGTCGGGAGGATTGCACTAAAATCTATATAAAATTTGCAATTCTTTTATATTGGTTCATGGTAGGAAACATGAAGTTGTTGTTCGAACGAAGAACTGAACATAGCTATCACTGATCACTGATTTCCTTTTTATAGTTTTTGGCAATAACGAGATCAATTTGTTATGAACAATATATTGCTGACTACCAGATCTTCCAACCGATCAGAAAGTCATAGCCGTTGTATCTTTCAAATCTTCCATTCAATGCATAAGAAAAACAAGATTTTCGAACTAAAGAAACTAGTTTACGATTTAGAAAATCTATACATATATTTGCACATTGTTCCCATTTGTTATATGATTAAAGAACGATTTGTAATTTGTGTTGACTAGCTGATCTTGCTAGTCTTTTCCGTCCATTTATCTGAATCTTCTTCTATGAACTTAAACCAATGATTGCTCCTTTTTTTCTCACTCAATGTCTTCACTTTCTATCAATGTCATGTTGTCAAGAGCACATACGTCATAAGCATCGAAAGCATTGCAATCGTTTTTTAAAGCTTACCTTTGTTGTGCGTTTCCATGAGTAAAAAGCACAATCAAACAACTGGCTAAGTCAATAAAAGACAAACAGATTGTGTTGTGGTTACATGGATTCATGCTTAATCGAAACTTTTTATTTTCTTGAACTTCAAACAGCACATTGCATTTGTTTATAACTACCATTTCGTCGTCGGTTTGTGGAAGAAAAAAAATGACGAGAGACTGTATCCCATAGAAACCGTATTGAAATTGCACGTTAAATGACTCGCACAATAAATTGAATTTCTAGAACATTGATAATTTTTTATGATTTTCATTCATATTTCATTTATGATGCTTGATTGTCTTCTGTTCATAGTTTGCTCCTACTTTGGGTTTTGAATATAATAAAGTAAGTATAAATAATCCTATATACATATTGGTTTATGTGTCGTACGGATACTCTGAGAATTTTTTAATATAGTATATTCTCTAAATCGATACATAAGACAAGTCAATAGCATAATTAAGCTCTCTATGTTCACATTGAATCCGAATGAGGTTGTCCATGAACTAATTTTGTTGGAAGAATTATTTCATATGATCGTTTTACAGTTGAAATTAACTTGACTTTTTTTTTATATTCGATTTCCGTCCAACAGTCAACATATGGTGAAGAATCGAGTCTTTGATAGGTTTTCTTTCAGAAGCATAACAATTTTTTTATTCGATGTGAGTCCTCATTAAAATTGAATTTCAACCAAGAAAAACGCAGCTAATGAAATGCTACACGTCAACGTAGATCATTATGTATGTGTTCCTAATTTCGGTTTTCACAAAACAAAAGTATATCATATTTTCTGCTGTGCTGCTAATATTACAAAGCTATGTATAGAGAAAATCATTTAGTAGGATACACATATTATAATACTAATAAGTAATGAACTTAAGATGAATTTCGATCGTGAATAAATCCATACGAATATTTAGGCTTTGTTCCTTTTTTGATAACCCAAGAGAAGGAAAAATTGAATAAAGATACATATTCTTCAAATAATTGTCAAGTGAAAAGACGAAACAATGCACTTGATTTTTCATTAGTTACGTAGCAATAATCAAGTCTTTATTTAGACTTTTCTGTTCAACAAAAATCCTTCATACAAGAGAAAACCTTTCAATAATAGAGAGCGATTAATCAATGTATTGACATATTACATTTGATACTCCGCTAAGAAAAGAACTTAAAGAAAATATTTAGTATGAAAACGAAACAATAGCTAGTTAAGACAAAAAAAAATACTGCCAACGATTATGATCTATAGATCAATAGTGACTAGGTCATTCTGTAACGAAGTAACACTTTTTAACAAATTTTATCTCTAAGCATGAAGATATAGAAATACAAAGTCAATAATCATCTTCAGTCTAATAACGATTTCCATTCGTACTAGACTGTAAACCCCTTATTTTGCATTCAATTAACAAAAATTCACGATTCTAGTTCTAGATCAACGTTCAGAAATTTAATATTTCCTAGGACCAAGTGTCGATATAAAACTGATTAAACAATGGGTTGCAACAATTCGACTGCCACTGTTGAAAGCCGTCAAATGGAATCCATTGATACTGATCGTAAGTACCATTACTTCACAAAAAACATTACCACTTATCTATTCATCTATGTTCATGTCAGAGGAAAGTTCGGCACCATTATCAAGAACTCAAAAACGTGCTGATGCTATGCCGAATACGTGGAGAATGCAAGCTTTAAATGCTCATAATGCATTTCGAGCTCGTCACGGTGTTCCGCCGCTGGTACTCAAAGATGAAATCACTCACAAAGCTCAGGCTTATGCAGAATATTTGGCAGAAAATAATCTATTCAATCACAGTTCAAATCGTGATAATCTCGGTGAAAACTTGTATACAATGAGTAGTTCGGAACCGTTGACAAATGAATCTCTTGGTTAGTTAAAACAGAGCTTCGTTTGCGAAAAATAATTTTTACTATCATAGGTACGGATGCTACTCAATCTTGGTATGACGAAATCAAAAGTTATGATTTCAGTAATCCAGGTTTTTCGATGGAAACTGGTCATTTCACTCAGGTCATCTGGAAGAATACGAACAGTTTAGGTGTTGGAGTGGCTTTTGACAATAGTGGTAGACGAGCAATCGTTGTTGCCCAGTACGGTCCGGCCGGTAATGTCATGGAACAGTTTCCGGAAAACGTTCCACCGCCTCAATAATCTTTTTCAAAATAAATTCTGTCGATTTCGGACTATCATACGCAGAAAGCTGAGATTGACTCAACCAGAAAGCAACATATTTCTCTTTCAGAAATGCAAGCGTTATATCATGCTGTTTATGATGTCTTACTTCTTCAGTATCCGTGCAAGGAGAGTTTGTAACAGAATAGTTTGTTTCTCGTGAACATGGATGTAGCTGTGGGTGTGGAGTGTGGATGAGTATGGTGTAAATAGGTGTGAGTGTAAAACATCATCATTGATCACTAATATCAGCAACCAATATTTATTTCAAATTATTCATAACTGCAGCACCTATCTAATTTTAGTACATAAAATGAAACAGAGTTTCTTCCTATTTTGACAATTAATTCAACCAAATATTACTACTAGACATCCTCTAATAAAGAAAGCATAGTTTCTAGTGAAGCTTCATGCCACGAAAAGTCGAGTACTTTTTGTGATAAGCTACGACTAGTCGATAAAATTATCGGTAAACCGACAGTTTTGGCAAATAGCGCAGTTTATCGCTAAAAGTGATCCGATTTTTTGTGACATGGGTTGTATATTTTATTATATCTGATTTTATGAAAAAAATTAATTATATATATATCTGAAAATTTATCGTCGAATATTTGTCTCGACACTAAAAAGGATCAAAATGACGCTTACTTCGATATCGTCCAACTTGATTTATTATAATCACTATTCACATCGTCAAGTTTTCAGTGTTTCTACAGAATACACACACCCTCACTCACAAACAATATTTTGCATTGTAAGATTAAGCTAATTAGCGTAGGATCAAAGATATTAATGGCTAGAATGTGTGGATGTAATTTGTCTATTAAATTAATATTTTCAGTCTTGAAGATATTGATTACAACGAAAAAAAAGTCGATTTTAATATGGCACAGTATATTTTGTTAGATGGCACCACACATTTTCCCATTGATTAAAGTCTTCCAACTAATGACTAGTTTTGTGGCGCCGTCTTTAATAAATAATCATATTCGAAAACTAAGTGGCAAAGGTCGATGTGGTTGGTACAGAGGGCTTGAGCGTGCTCACAATACTTATGGGACACGATCGTGACTGAAATCGAACATTTTTCTACGAGTTTATAAATATTCATGCACTGAAACAAAAAAAATTAAGCAGTAGACCTCCGAGTAACTGGCGGTTTGTAAGACATGGATACATGCTGTTGTTGAATGCATCATCCATTTTCTTATCTTCCTCAGTATATGGTTTCTACTATATCTTTTTTTTTGAGTACGTTTATATCTAATATTCCCTGAGCCAATGTATAAAAACTCACATTGAATTCTTTTATAATTTTATTTAATTAGTACATAATAAAATCTTTCAATTTAGTAAACATGAATATTCGGGTAAATTTAAAAGTTCATCAGCCAATTGACTCAATTGTTCCATGAATTTATCTATATCCGACATTTTAGTTCGATGATTCGTAATACACATTCTCAATCCAAATTTATTATGATCAATAGCAATTGGGGATACAACTGCTGTTCCACGTTCTTGAATAGTAATTAACATTTGTTTATTTAATTTATTCAATATCTCCAAATCGATAACATGTGAACGTGATACAATACATCGGAAGCAGACGATATTCAAAGGACCTGTCGTCAATACTTCAAATTGATTTGAATATTGTTCGATTAACCTAACAAAATGTTTAGCTTGATCAACATTTTGCTCCATAATTTGTCCAAATTTTTCAATTCCGTATGTTTTTAATGTCATCCAAACTTTTAATGATTTCATGTTTCGTGATAATTCTAAACCATAATCACTAAAGAATACTTCACCTTCACTTGGTGTTATTCCACCATCCATTAAAGTTAAATATGAAGCAGCTGGTTGACTAAATGTTGACTTATGTAATTCACCATGACGAATAAGAATGCAACCACATTCATAGGGAACAAAAAGCCATTTATGAAGATCAAATGCAATTGAATCAGCATGTTCAAAACCATTAAATAAAGGACGAAGACGTTTTGAACAACGAGCTACAGCTCCAATAGCCCCATCAATATGAAACCAAAGGTCATTCGGACGACGAGCACATATATTAGCTAGACCTTTAAGATCATCTATAGCACCAGTAGCAACTGTACCTGCACTACCAACAATAAAACCACATGAATATGGATCAAGAGCTGCTTCTAAAGCCTGAAAAAATATGGTTAATACAATTTGTTCATTTGTTTGTAATTTGTAATGCTATACCTTTAAATCAATTTGTCTTTCAGAATTAGTTGAAATAGAAATAATATTTTCTTTGCCAATATTAAGAAGATCAATTGCTCTAATAAGGCAACTATGTGCTTCTTTTGAACAATAAACTTTCATTGTTCGATTACAGAATTTTTTTCTAGCAACCGCCATGGCTATTATTGTTGCTACTGAAGTACCACTAACCAGTAAACCTGAACTTGTATCATCATTGGGAAAATTCATTAATACTTTTAACCATGATAAGATTTGCCGTTCTATATATATACTTGCTTGATGACCACCCCATGACATTGTATTCATTGTTCCAGTTATAAACTCAGCAAAAGCTCCTATTAATGAACCTGTTCCTTGCACATAACCCCAAAAATGTGGATGATTATTGCCTACAGAATAAGGAAGAACAAGCGAACAGACTTCATCATAAACTTCAAATGGTGATTGACCTTTTAATGGAATATCAGTTTGTGCAATAGCTTTTCTTACTATTGGTGGCATTGGACGCCATGCAGGTCGAAGACGAATATCGCTTAAATAATTTATCATATCATCCATTATTTGATGACCTAATGATCGAATTTCAGTCCAATCAAGAGGATCTAATGAGATCTCATCCATTTTTTTATCATCAATAAACAAAAACCGTTGAAATTCAATTTTAAATATCCATACTTTGGTACGAGTTTTTTCATGACCAAAATATATTGGCAATAATATTTCAAGATATCTTGAGTTTGTAACAGAAATACTAGATTTCATTGTGATCAACAAATCACATAATAAATTGTACAATTCTGCTTTTGTTTCACATAATTTATGTGTAATTGTGGAACATTGATGGTCATTCAATAAAACATCATAAGTCAATATCTGATTTTGATAAAGTTCAATTTTAAGATGATTATTAAAATCTTCTATTAGTATAATCGAATACTCATCATTTAATTCATAAATAGTTTTTTCATTAAAACTAGCCATGTGACAGTATTACATAGACTTTAGATTGTTTGCTCGAATTAAAAAATGATAACAAACAATAAAGATGTGTTCTTTTAAGTGAATTATATCAATATAAACTTATAAATAATGCTTATCCTGTTTAACATCATTCAAAAAATAAAACATTAAGATTACCCAGTTAAGCAAACCACAAAAAAAAACCAACTATCAAAAATGCATTGGAATTTTAGTGAAAATAAAATTGTAAAAAACATACAGTTTTACATATTAAGACATACGCTGGGTATGATTTCATTTTCGTTCAAGAAGTTTAAAGCGTTTTTACACGCTTGATTTTTGAATTGAGTGTATATTTAGAACGAATAATCATATTCCATAGACATGGATTACTTGAAGTATAGTTTAGATGAATTCTTATTAAACTCAATCTTGTTCCCATCTTCTAACAAATAACTTATTAGTTTGATTTTGATCTGCAAGAATGTAAATCAAATGTAAAACTCGAAAGCATTTTAAATTTGATCTAGATTCTTATGTATGAAAAATAAACTGATACGTCATTTTTTACAAGATCGTAACAAGACTGAATTCTTATAAGAATTTATCTTAATTATACTTCAAGTAGCTTAGATCTTAGCAATATAATTGTTCTCTCTAGAAATACGCTCAATTCGAAAATTAAACATTTAGTAACATGTTAAGATATACGATAAATATTACTTTGCCTTTATGAAGCTCATCTAACTACTACACGTTCTGTAAAAGTGACATATATAAAGATTATTTTATAGATATCGAACTATTTTGAGTTTTTTGTATTTTTCGAATATATAAAGTTGGACAGACATAGGACATATATATATTTGTAACATTTGAACTATCATCCAAAATTGACTATACTCAACTGACATCATTACTAAGCAAGTGTGTTATTAGAACAGGTGCTTAAATATATTTATTAAATTAATTTTCTACTATTTTTTTTTTTATTATATTGAGAGAAATATCAGTCGCACGCTCACTGTCAGTCATTTTTATCATTGTATTCTTATGGAGTCTATTGCTAAAATGGGTTTAGGCGTAGTTGTTTTTATATGATTAAGATAAAAATACAATAAACAAGAATGAAAAACAAATTTGATAAAATTATTTTAATATTTTTACCTATAATGTACTTTCTTAATAGGGATGTCAATTGAGTACAATAAAGTTTGAATGATAAGTTAGATGTTACTTTTAAACATATATTTTCTATGTCTATTCAACTTTGTTGTGATGGAACGACTTACATGCTCCTGTTTTATTAAAAGAATGAATGTGAATGCACGCAACACGAACAAAGATAAGCATAACATGTCATAAAAAAAAAGAGACGAAGTGCAAAGATAAGACCAACATGATATAAAAAAGAAAACAAAAAGATGATTGATGTATGCAAACCAGAATCCTGCATTGTAGAACTTTTTTGGTACTGTATGTCCTACTCTATACCGATTTCGTACTCTTGCCTTACCCTACCCTATGGACTTTCTATCCTATCCCTGTCCTAAAATTTCCAGATTTAGCAGATGTCACAATGAAATTTTCTTCACTATGTTTTAGCATATTTAATTGATTGTCAACAATAATCCAATACAAAGTTATCACTTATTTCAAAAGTTTCGTAAGAATAAAATGCCATTAACAATATCGCTGCTCAATTCTGTCTTCTCTATTCCAAAAAACCCCTGCTTGCATTGAAAATACGTTCACTCGTGACTGAACTTGCTGAAATTCTCAATAACCATTGTGCAATGCACTAAGTTGTGGATAGTTCAATGAGCATTTGTCCCACCAGTCCAATACCAGTTCTTTATTAGCAAAACTTAATTTCGCTTTAACATAAAGACTGGCTTCTTCTAAACCAGAAAGATGGCAGGAGTGTCTTTGAAGTTGTTTGCCAAAAAACTCTTAGCAATATGAATAACATCCTATTCTACCAGAAATGTTTTTGTATTACCGTTGCTGTACTCTGCAGGATAGGGTAAAGTAGGTCTACCTTGTAGGACTCTGATGCAAAAATATATATGTGTCCGTAGACATCGTTGAACATGGTCACGAATAATGGGGATAGATACAGTCCGTTATATTTGTATACGCCAAAAATTCAAAAAACACCAAAGTGGACCCAAACCTTATGAAATATCATATAAGTATATAAACTAATCAATGACATGTAACTATAGTGGAGTAGTTCCATCGGAACTCCCCCACGTTTAAGATCTGATTTTTCAGGCTAATAAAATTAGGTTCAGATGCTTTGGAACGCTTGGTCTGTAATTTGATATACTTCTGTTAGCTCGTTTCGTCGATTGATCGATATCTCTCTTTATTTTAAGGAAAAACGTATATATATATATATATATATAATGTCCTTCAAGTACATATATTCAATACATTATAGAAAAAGAAAAGAAAAGAAAAGAAAATATAATAAACAAAGAAGAAAAGAAAGACGAAACCATCGAGGGATATAGTGAGCGGATATCACCGCTAACAACTTCCTTTAGTGGAACATGAATATTAGGCTTTATTTAATATCATAACAAATTAATTGAAATGTTTCATTCAAAAATCATGAACAATACAACATTGAACAACAACCAAATTTTTCTAATTTGAATCCCTTCCAGTCAACCTTCAATATGAAACGCCATGGAGTCCTATGCGATTTTTTTTTCTGTTTATGATATCATAAATAGTATGTTCTGAATGAAAATTCTTATTGAATAGACCGATTTTTGCTTGTGTTTAGAAATTGTTGAAATATTCATAAAATCCTTTTTTTCCATCATCATTGTACATGTTCAAAGAAAGAAAGAGAAACATTCGCATAAATACTTGTCGATTGATAAAGTTCAATTTCGAAAAAGAAAATGCAGAATGATGCAAAAAATTGATAAAAAATGAATAGGAGTAGAACGGTAAAAAGCAAGTGTTCATAGAAATATATCTCTATTCAATAATGCAAGACGTAAAGAACAAAAAGATTGTGTTAATTAAGATGTACTCTAAATAAAGATTTTGTTTGCATGGAATTTTTAAAGAAAAGAAGCTTACTAATTTAAAGAAAAAGAGAATTATTTCTTCATCACATGCAGATCATTATAAAATCAGATGATAATTTAAACGTTTCCGAATGTTTGAATCCTTGCTACAAATATTTTTCGATATTGAGATATGTCCGGATTCCGTGGATTCTAAACTCATGGAACTTTCAAAAGTGCAACTTCACTCACAGACTGGAGAACGTGAGAAAATTACCCTTTCTGGTACGTCGGCTTTCTGGGTCGAAATCAATGATCTGGGTGCCAAAGAAGAATTACAACGAGAAGACGATAAACGATCTAAGAATAATTTGAACACAGATTAAAAATACCAGTAAAAGACAGATAATTTGAAGTAATAAAATGTGAATGAGGAAAGAGAGCTATTAACATTCGCGTTATCTATATTAGCTGTTCTATTCATTTACACTGGATGACACAAATTCTCGAAATAGTCACACATTAAAGTATTTTAACTATTCTTCCCTTTCTGAAAGAAAAACAAAATCTACAGTACTATCCCTAATAACCACTAAGATAATCACAATTTATTTAGCATTCTATCAGCTTTGTGCTCATTGTATATGCTGCATCAGATCATTTTTCATTCATTCGTCAGAAGAAGAAGACTTCCTTCTATATTTACAGCACATCATACTATAAATTAGCCGATTTTGAGTGTATGTATCGGCGTAAACAGCTGTACTTCAAGTGATACGGCAGCGTACACATAGTTCAATATGACAATCGTATATCTGCGTGTTGAATATAGATAAATGCGCTAGCTTACCGTCTTCGTATATGAAGTTTGTATATCATCACGATTTTGCTTCATATTTCTCCACATATGACCCTATTGCTTCGTATACATTCATGAAGACATACGATTGTAATAACGAGTTACATGAAATATCAAAATATGTTCGAATACGACTCAATAAGGTGGCTTAGGAACGCATAAAAGTTCTGTACCTTTCATCATGAACATATGTCATGATCATTCTTTTATTTGCACGACATCAAATAAAGTAAATGAAATACATATCGACTATTGCAAAATAGAAAAACCTAGTAACAATCATTTCTTTCTATAAATTTAGTGGTGTTCTAAAACAAAAAAAAGAGAAGAGTGTTGCCAGTAGGCAGAAAAATGACCAAATCTCGCAGTGTCCAGCCACCGCCTTGCAGTAGAACAGGATAGAGTGATGCGATACCGTGATTCGCGGATCTTGAATACCTTATTATTAACTATATAAGTAGTCATGGACATTTTTTCTTTTAGAAAAAGAAAATTATTTTGAGTTATTGTTTATTCGGTTAAAAAAAATGATTTATTATCGTAAATTACAACGTTACGTCTTCTTTATTCGACGCCATTCTACTTTTCTATTGGTACTTCTAACTATTATTACGTTTCTTATAATATTTCGCGAAGAATTAACTTATCAATTGTATATAAAAACACTCAATTTAGAACTTTACGAAAATGCTATCACTATATGAACTAGTGGTTATCACATAAGATATATAAATTATATTGAATAATTTGAAATTGAATCCTTTTGCTTTTTGTATCTTAGTACTATTCATGATCTAAAAAAATATTCTTTTACCTCTAGGTGTTCGATTTTTTGATAAAAGTCTATCATATAGTTGTGAACGAACAAGAACGTGTTCTTCTTCTCTTCGTATATTGACTAGAGATAATGGAATGAATTATTCAAATGAAATCTATTCTAAGTTTTATGAATTTTATAAAAATTAAATTGAAATGAATGTCGATGCATTTGTTTGTTTTCATCCTGTATCTATGTGTGAATTATATATGCCATTTAATCGAAGTGTTATTATTATTTCATCAACACGTTATGAACTTTCAAGATTTGAACCTCAACAATGGAATAAATTAAATGAGAATTTGAAAAAAAATTCTCAAGATCCAAAAAATATTATAGCTGCAAATAATTTATATGACGCAGAATATATTCGTTATTTCACTGGTATAAATGTTACACTTTTACCTAGCTTTTGTAATTATACAAATACTGATTATAATCCAACTCGAGAAGAATTTTTACTTGTTCCTATTCATGTATTATATTTTGATATATTATTTAAAAAATGACTTAAGAAATCTTTAAATCAATATCAAAAACATAAAATTACAATTGTATCGATTAGAAATATTCTGATTTGACTAATCATCCAGCTATTATTCATATACCTTATCGAGTTTCTATAATGAGTTTATTTGAACAATATCGAATGAATATTCCACTTCTTGTTCCATCACTTGATCTTTTGACTAAATGGCATTATGAATATAGTGTAGTCAATGAAAAAACTTGGGATCAAATTTTAAATGGAATAAGATCGAAAATTTCTCGTATAAAAGGTATTTTAACAAATGTACTTGATCCAAATAATGATTTGAATTGTATATCAATTCGATATTGGTTGAATTTTTCAGATTTCTATCAGTGGCCACATATTATATATTATGAATCGATTGATGATCTTATTGAAAAATTAATTTCGACAGATTTTCGAATGATTAGTAAAAAAAAATGAAGATGTATAATACACAAGTCAGAAAAACTTTATCAAAAAAATGGAAACATATATTAAATAATATAATGCAATATTCAAGAAAATTTTGCCAATTTAACTCTTGACGATCGGAATAAAGATTCAGTAAATAGTGAACACTTAATTTAGTAATTTGCATCAATGTAATTGGTTATTGCGTTGTTACTTAACTTCAAATATCATGTGAGATAATCGTTTTTTTTTTAGTTGAAAACTATTTTGAATTCAATAAATTTATGTTTCACTAATTCGTAACAATTTGAGTTATGTTTTCTCTGTGCTGAAAATAACTTCTACTACCTAGGTCAATGGTTCTGGCCTTAGAAGTTCGTCGAAAGTAGTCTTTTTTCAAGGTAGTTATTCACCGGTGACCATAGGTGAGATTTTCAAGACAATTTCCAAATATCTTTCCTATTCTGTCTTTCCTGTTGGATATGGAAGAAACATAATAATGCAAAGCGAAGAATTCTAAATTTGAATCCCGTTGGATCCGATTGGATCATGTTGAATTTATATCTGGACATTAGACATTGTGTGATCCACCTAGTTTCTCTCTTATTCCCTTGCTCTCCTGCAAATATCTGGAAATTAACAGCTTAAATTTACTCTATTTTAACTTATCATTATATTCAATTATTGAATAATAAATTTAAAATGAAGAAAAAAAAATAGAACCAATAATTTATATTCACTTTTGATTGACTTCATACCATAATATAATCTAAATTAAAAAAATAGAATAAAAAAAAAATTTATACTTATTGTTTGTTGAGTAATATAGCTCGCATTCTCGCCATAAACTGTCGTTAAGGAGCATGAATATGTTGTCTGGATTGGTGGAAAACGACTTCGCGTCGTCATAAAATGTATTACAAATACATTTCACATGTTGTCTAATAATCATGAAAAACAAAACTAGATACTTTAATACTATTGGATTTCGTCGGATTCGACAAATTCTCACTGTCGCATGTTATTGAATCGTATTTTTGAAAAAATTATCGGATGAACGTCTCTTTCTGTAGAGCTCGCTTTATCTTCGGATGGAATGGCAGCATATTGAAGCCTTCCCTTTCACAACACTATATTTATATAATTCCGCTTTGCTCTACACGTCTTAAGGAGTTCCTTTGTTGATGACCTATGCATTCTTCTCGTATGCCAAAGTGGTTCGAAGTTGCAAACTATCGCTCATGACTTATGTTATCTTTACTCATCATTTTATTGCTTTGTTATAATTACTTTCGTTCTTTATAAGTTACGTGCAATCAACATAATGTCTCTGGAGGCTCCATAATGGCAAGAGGATTAAATAAACATATCGTTTTGTCTCCACTATATGATATAACTTAATCTCTCAACACATAAATATAAATCTATACTATAAAAAAAAAATATCCCGAGTTACCAAATACATAAAAACCGGCGCTGTCTAATTATTTTCATTTAACTTTTTAAATAATTTCGCTTATTTCATCTTCTATAAATTCAAACGAAATGTATGAATACGAACGAATCAATAAACAACTTAATGATTATTATTCATTTGCTACATCTTTATTAAATTTTCTTCAAAAATATTTAATACAATTTCATAAATCATTAATAAATTATTCAATGGTTCTAAAACATCTTCATAAAAAATCAACTAATCTATTAATTAAAACTAATTCTAATCATGAATTAACTAAACAATTACATCATGCTTTTTTATCTTTAACACAAACATTTGATGATGAATATCATCATTTAGAACAACGAGCTTCATTAATAAAAATTATTCAATTAACAATTGAAAATCTTAAACAAAAAATCAATTCATCAATAATATTAAAACAAAAAAATAAATTACATAAATATACATATTGTATTATACGTTTAAATCGTAATAAAAAACGACAATATTTATATCAATTAGTTCAACAAATACGAAAACATGACAAACTAACATTAACTTGGAAAGATAATCTTGATAATATAACATCACAAACAACAAATCTTATTTGGAAACTTTTCTCTTATTCACCATATAAATTTGATATAAAACCCTTACAAACATCATCAAGTTCCATATCAATCAGTGAAACAAATGTTGATTTACCTTGTATTGAGAATGATAAACAAAATGTTCAATTATCTTCTTCAACTGAATTAGGATCTGGTGATCAATTACAATTAAAATCCATTAAAGAAACTATACTACATGAATCAGAACAAGAACAAAAACAAATATCAAATAGTAACAATGCTTTAATCATACCAGTAAATCTTAAAAGAAATTGTGATGAAAATCGATCACTCTATTCAACTGATATTGATGAAACAATTGTTGAAAAAAATCGATTACATAATGATTTCATAGATGATGAAGATGATCGATGGATAAAATTAGTAAAACAAAATGAAATTCAATGGCAACAAACAAGATCAACATTATCGATTTTAACAGATCAAAGTAGTGATGATAATGAAAGTATTATAAAACAATATAATACACTAATTAAAACAAAAAATTCATTACATTTATCTGATCTAAGTTATACAACAGATTATTATTCACAAAATGAATCAGATTAAATAACATTTGAATGAAAACTATTGATATGATTTAGAGATTAGGTACAATTTCTTTTTATGTTATATTAAAAAAAAAATTTCCATTTAGATTTGTTAAATACATTTGTTGAGTTTTGTAATGAGAAAACTAGAATCAATTATGATAAGTGAGACAGAAAGGCTAAAAATTTGTATGAGTATTTATTATTATCAATGTTCGACTCTCTTCTATCTCCACATATTGATAACCTTTGACCTATGCTGTAAAACTATGCACATATAAAAAGAAAGTCAACAAAGAAACATTTCTTAAATCATGGAGACATACAAAAGGTTGTCAATAAATTAAATATTCACGTTCTTTTATAAGACAATGGACTCTTAATAAACTAAGAAAATAAATTCAAATATGATTGTTTTAACAATTGATGATATCATCACAGGCAATGATCAAGCGGGGTAACCACTTTTCGTCCTTGTTTTTTTTTACGGACATCGGTCAGAGTAGTTCGATCCGAACTCCAGTTTCTTCGAAACAGTCCGGATGTTCGGAATGAAAAGTCCGGAAGATCGGAATGAAAAAGGCCGGATGTTCGGAATGAAAGTCGTCCAGGTGTTCGTAACAGAAAATACAGGATGTTCGTAACATAAAATGACGGCTGTTCGGAATAAAAAATGACCGATGTTCGGAATGTAGAATGCTGAATATTTGGAATCAAAACTACGGATGTGCGTAAGAGTGAATGACTGATGTTCGTAAGAAAATACTCCGGTTGTTCGTAAGAGAAAAGAATTGGTTTTTTTATAACAGTTTATTTTCTTTTATTTCACAGTATAGTCTTTAACAAAAGACAAAGACAACAAAAATTTATACAAGTGAGAGAATAAGTAACTTTTATAACAGAAAAAAATGTAATGTTTAATATTTTTTTGCAGCATGTCTTATTTTTTTCTTTTTTGGAATTTGTTTCATATTGTCATCATCTGTTTCATCTTCTTTTCGTTTTCTTTCACTCGATGAACTGCTGGCTGAAGATTTATGAGAATTATTAACAAACTGAACTCTACACTATTTTAAAAAACTCTAACTGAATGTACATACGAGAAGAGGTCGCTACACTCAGCGACTTAAAATATACTATATGAATAAATTGTTTTCTGTGTTAAAAAACATACACCAAAATTCACTCAGAACATCCGTCATTTTATGTTCCGAACATCCAGTATTTTTTCGTTCCGAACACCGGTCACTTTTTGTTCCGAACATCCGTCATTTTATGTTTCGAGCATCCTGTATTTTTTCGTTCCGAACATCTGGACGGTTTTCATTGCGAACATCCGGAAAAACGATTTTATGTTGTATATCCGATTTCGAACATCCGGTTATTCGACCGGATGTTCGGAAGAGCAAGGACGAAAAAAGACACACCCGATCAAGCAAAGAAAGTTAGACGGAAAAGAATATGCAACATAAATCATACAACTAAGCCATTGAGTATGAGATTATTTTATCATATTATTAAAATAGGATTATTCTTTGCTAATAATCTAAAAAGAAAAACCAACGCAAAATTCAATTAAGATAAAAGAAAAATTTACATGAGACTTCTTATCAAGAATTTTTGTTACAATTTTTTGCAACTTACATCAGAGTATATACTGGATTTGACACTTAAAACCAAATCTCATGTCAAATCTTCATCGCATGAGTATCCAATTAGATAAGATCTTAGAGGATGAAACGAAATCTTTTTTTTTTAATTTTATTATCTTTTTTACTTGAATTAATTTTAAAAGGATTATAACCTTTCTAATATCAACAAAAATCATCTAGTTTCCTCCTTTTAAAGTCTATTCTTATTATAAATGAATAATGAACGGACTACTACATTATGATCAACATCTATATATTCGTTCAACAGAAAAAAGACAAATAAAATTAGGTTATTTTGAATTATACCGAATTTTCTTTTTGCTGATTTAAATATGAATGTGAATATAGATGGAGAGAGAAAAATCAGAACCACGCTCTAAGTTGATTGTCAACTGAGATGGTGACAGATTGGTTTAGTAATTAACTACTTGATTATAATAGAATGTTATATATAGAGTCAATCATATTTGATCAAGACCCATTTTCGGCTAGGAATTCATTTGGCGACATTGAAATCGACAAAAAAGATCGTCGGCGAAGATACATTGGTTCGTTTTAAAACTAATCGGATCTTCTGGATGCAGTTTTGGAATATATTTCATACTTTTATAAAATTTTAGTTTTTATCGAATCATTATAATCGAAGAAAATAGTTAATCTAACATGAATACATGAATAAGATTTTCGAGTTCAGATTAAATAGAAAACATCCGGCAGGGTGCAGGTTCCAAAACTTGAATATGGGCACGGCTCTAAAGTCTCATAGGCGTTA